GGCAACAAATAAGTCTGGTGGCGGTAGGATTACATTGCCAAGTACGAGAATGCAGTAACACTTGCCAATGGGAGGCTGCTGAAGCAATCTTTTCCTTGCACCATCAGTTTATTATTATAATTATGCCATCTCTTAAAATTACATCATTTTTATACATTAAAGCACTGAACTATAGCCTATATGATAACTATAACAACTGATGATGTAAGACAAGAGTGCCTCAAGACCACATTCTTGTGTGTGAATACACCTTGGAATGTTCACCCTCACTGCACAAACGCTCTCAATCAAACCGAAATAGTTGTTGCCATGACAACAGGGATGCCCTTTTTAACCCTTTCTACCTTTAGCAGGTGCAATAATATCTGAACACATTCACTTTACCAGCCTTAGGGACTTCGAAAGTCTCTGATGTGTCTCCTGGGAAAGAAAGGGTGCTGACGGTTAAAGATACCACAGAGCTCCATGATAACCACATATTATCAAGTATATAAAAGAGAAACTTCCAATTCCCAATAAATAATATCCATACAACTTGCTTCCTTGTGTACTGGGCTTATGCTAGCATGCATTACTCGAAGATGCATCTTTTTTTTAGTCAGCCCAAAGACTGGCTACTTGGCAAAAAGGAGTTTAAGAAGTCTATATTTTTCTAATTTACAATTTATTTTCATCCAGTGGTACAGTTTTATTTGCTAGCATGAGCCGAGAACAACTCGACCGATTTCACAGTTTACCTGAATTACCTTATCCCATGATAATGTACTGATCAATGACTTTAAAAAAGTCTCAACACACACTTAACATCTAAATGCAATGCTCATTGATCAAACTGGACATTTTTTAATACAGTTTTTCGGTCTTCAGACAGTCGTATATTAAAAGAGCTAAACGAAGATTGATTTTCAGATCCCACAAGATGATGGTCTACCTTAGCAAAAGATACTTTATATAGTTATGCATGGATGCATTCATAACCCACTACTTTACACAAGAATAAACCATGAAAATATATAAAATCCCTCGGGGTTATAAGTGCTTTTGTTCAAGACTGCCCGAGCTTTTTTAATATGGCTTGTCATCAAAACACATTACTCTGCCAAGGCAGACAGCAGAACTGACTAGCATTTTATATTAGTCACAGATTGCAAGACAAGAAAATGGAATACTGTTATCCAAGTTGAAATACACCATATGATAATCTAATGAAGTGGCTCAAGCTGAATCTAAAATTCTACTCTTATATGCCAGAGTATTCAATTATTCTGCATGGTGATCTATTAATCATCCTCTATATGACACTAACCCTTTTTGGTAGAAATTTAGCACATTTTAAGTTAACATGAAGAATCTCATTTTCCATGCTTTGAAGCAGCATTAGACACTCTCAATGTCTGACTCAGTATGCTGTGACTCAAATAACAAAGGGATAATGGAGGCAACTTATTGATCCATCGCAAATGTAGAAACTAACATTGTTCAACCAATGGTGAAATCGCCATGTTATGGGCAGTATGGATCAATAAAATTCAACATTGCAATATTCTGTACACGCCCGTTTCCTCGAACAGTTTATATAGACTGATTTGTGCAAACAGTACGTGATGTAGAAAGATGTAGCAGCCAGTACTATCCATGGTGTGATACATGCTAAATACTTAAGGGAGCAAAAGAGCACCTCCTTAACAGATGTGCACCCATGCTGCAAATTACTACAAAAAAGTCTGCCTACCATTTCCATCTTCTTTTTCAGTAGTTTCAGGTGTAGCAGATGCTGCCTTCTGTGCATTATTTTTCCCCATTTGCAATTCCAATGATTAATCTCTTATTGCTAATCAAACCTTCAGCTTGGTCAGTCCTCCTCGTGTGCTCAGCTGTGCCACGTGTGAAAGGATCAACCTGTACCCGAGTCAGGTAGTATAAGCTGGCCTATCTCTTACTGCATTATAATGCTGTGCTGTTTAAGATGTTCTACATGATGCTTTTTAACATGATGTATAGAACAAATATCTTAGTGATCACCAGCCAGATAATGCATCCTGGCATGTCAACCTTTATGAGATAAGTATTTTTACCTTTTATGACGATTTTGCATGACTTGACACTTTATTTTTTTTACTGCCGTGATTAAGAAGTGGCCAGGTTATCTATCTTGAGATGATAACGAGATAGGAGGCACTGCCTTCAGTGGTTTAAAATTAATAAATCAAACCCTAGTCTATGCATAACATTACAAATTCATGACTATGAATAACAAAAATGAAATGTTAATTAGTCAAGAAATGGCAATGACCTACTTTTCCCAGAATAAGTCAACTGCTGTAAATACTGCCGCTGAATCCTTGTCATTCAGCTTTTAAAATAGAAATATGATGTCTCGAGAGACACAAACCTCTAAGTTAACAAATACAAAATTCTGCCTGAAATTTATCAAGTATGTTTTGAACATCTTCCAGGCAAGAATAAAAGAAATAATTCAAACCATTTTGTGTTCTTTAGAGCAAAGTCCATTTTAAATGAGAAGACATACATCTAATTCAATCCAATCTTGACCAGTTTTTAAGAACTATTAAAATGAGCATGCAGATATATTTATTGCTTGACCCATATATTGTGTGCAATATGTTCTGTGATGGACCTGAAACCCTACTTAAACCAGTTCATAAGATCAATATCCAGGGATGAATGCCTAATGCAATACCATACACTTATACCTTACACTTAATTTTCCATCATCTTCACCTGAACTAAAAATGACAGCAATTTCTTTTTGCATGCATATTTTTTGTATCATTACTTTCTGAACAACTTAGCCTTTTTTTTTTTACTGAAGACAACTGGCTCCAATTAACTTAATGAAGTTGGAATGCTATACATACAACCAATTCTAATTTAGGAAAAGATAATCTTAATGGGTTGTTACATAAGGATATGATAATTGTTAAGTTGTGCAACTGCACTAAATATTCATAAGTAACCCTCAAATCATCTGTATGATGATACAAGTTACTAAACTCCACTGATTAATTAATAATAACTTACTTGGCTATAGAAGCTGTTTGGATCCAAATCCTGTTACTTTGAAATATATCAAAGCATTTTACTATTCTCAAGTTGGTTTTAAGCATTCACATGATATTTGTATCTATAAATAGGATAGTTAACTTGAGGTATGATACCTATTTCTGTTTGGACACAAGAACTCACCTCTTGGGTCTATTTTTAAGTTCTTTCCAAATCCTCCTGGAAATACAGCAAAAACATGTATCAGTGTATTCTTGCACAGTCCTTAAGTTTTGTAACATAAGAAGTAAGAAGCTGTAAAGAGAACGTTCATTTAATTTATAAACTCATTTTGGTACCTTCTGACACTTTCGTAAAATCTTTCTAAAGACAGCAATCAGTTTTTCATATCAATGTTAACACAACAGAAATTCAATCTAAACAATGTGTAAATACAACAAACGTAGCAAATAATGTAAGTCTTTTTTGAGGGTAAGCATTTTCTTATATCAATTCATTAGTATACACTGCAGCTACACACAAAATCGAAGAAAAAATTTTCTGTAAAAAAAAACATCAAAATAAAGTAAATGTGCAATTATCCCCAACTTTTGTCTCGAAAGTACAGGGATAATTAACTTGTAAGACTGTGCACGACTCCTCACAAAAGTGAATCTCACACCATGATTTTAAGTTAAGATTCCACTAACATGACTATCAAAAACAAAAACTACAACAACTCTGTGCTCAATTAAATAATATCACACATATCAATTACTAACAAACATGTATGTTTTAATCACACATAAAAATTCAATGACACATGCTTTCCCACAACCTCCCAGGAATTTAACCAGCCAAATGACATTATAATTTGATAATTGGATGACACTGTCTAGTCAACTATTATTTGTAACATATACTTTGTCTATTAGGCTAGTTAGCATCATCAATTGATGAGTCAGGGTCAAAGTCCATCATACCAAGTTCACATGGTCAGCAGCAGTACCACCAACTGTCTTGCTGAGAAGTATATTTTTTTACCTTTAATTTACATGAATTTTATGGTGAGATTTCACTTAACATGATTAACAGAAGTTATTTCACTGCTTTGTAAATTTTGTTGAAAATTTCACAAAAATGAATTCAGAATAAAAAATAATCATGCCAACTTTCAAATTAATGTACTGGACTTCTTAAAAAAATTAAACTAAATATTTTTTTATTGACCATAAAATCAACGAAGCAGTTTTGGTTTAGAATGTAAAAACAATTTGAACCGAGTGACAAACAAAAATGGATAAAACAATTTGTAAATTTCGATTTGGGAAATTTCACCTGGAAATGAGGAAGGTTCTTTGCCCCCTCTCAGTTCTTTCCTTGGAGGTGGAGTGGGCTCTCTAGTAGAAGTGATTTCAGGCTCAGGCTCATAAGTGGGAGGTGCAATAGGTTCTGTTTTCTCTGACGAACTTTCACTGAAACTACCCAAAAGATCGCCTGTCGCCGCCTCCTGCTCCGGCTGTTTTGCGGCAGAATACATGTCCTCCTCTTCCGTGGTGGTGGTACTGACAGGTTCTACCTTTTCGAAATCTCCAAAATTGTTGTCTTCATTTTGTCCGTTGCTCTGGATTGGACTCTCAAAAGGATCCATGATACTGTCCCCAAAAGAGCAAGGTTATGAAAATGCACTGAAATTCAAAAGGTTAGTCTGCTCGCAAAATTTTGTTTTGTTCCTCTGTCCCGTTAACCTGCAGAATGGCTGCTCGAGATATGAGAATGACGTCATATACCTTCCCAGATCGCATATCATATAAAACCAGGATTGCGCGAAGCGGCCAGTAAATGTTTCTACGATTCAAACGAATATCGACTGAATGTATCATATTTAAAATCTTATTAGAATTAGAAAACTTAAATTTACTGTAAAATAACATAGCACTAGTTTTCACGAAAAGAAGCAAACCGTCTCTTAATCCATGTTTTCGTGACAGCTCTGATATTCGAGGATCGAGAATGGATGGGGATGGGTCGCTCTCTAACGGCACCAAGATAAAGGTGCCAAACGGATACATAAATGGGTATGGACATCATCAGAATGGTCACATTAAAGGACAACAGAAAGATGAGGTATATAGTCCATAACATTGGTTATTATAATGCTCCTATCCAAATTTTTAATTTAAATACAACTCTGAAGTCAGTAGACCAATTTTACGTAAATGCAAAGTAAACAGTACTACTACTAGTAGTGACCCAACATTTAGTTACACTTGTGCTAATAGTAATGATTCAACCAACCCGGCATTAGTATTATTAAAGATTTTTGGTTAGAGCGACTATGGGTTTACATTCTACCATATATCCAGTAATGGCCTGATTTTGTATCAGATCACCTGATCCGGCGTTTGTATTGCTTTGGTTACAATTCATGCCGCAGTAAAAGACTGAGTCATCTGGTGTTGCGTAAAAGCAATTGCCTGTATATATAAATCTAGGGGCTTCTAATTTGAATTTTACAAATACATATCGCTTCTCAATATTTAGATCAATTTTCACAGAGAATTCAATATTTTAGATACGCTGGAGGCAATTCAGATAATTTCATGCATCAAAATTGAAACAGTGATTAAAGGTATAAATAGAGTGTTAGACTCCATTCCCAGAGTTTAGATCGATCCAACTAGATCGACCTAACTCCCTGGGGGTGCACGCTAAATAGCTGTCAGCCGAGCGGGCACAAAAGTTAATTACCCCCTTACAGCTTGTAGTAGGCGGGACGGACATTTAAGCCAGATTATCTGACAGTAATCTAGTAAGACTCCCTACGGGATAGATCGATCTAAAATCTATGGGAATGCGCCATTAGATACTGATCTGATCATTGCCCAAGCTGGTGGGAGGGGTATAGACCACACCCCGGGGGCCAACCTTGTCAGTAAATTCAAGACCCCAACCTAATCACTGTCATCTCATATCTTAAGTATTTAATTAGTTTCTTTATATTAATTCATAACAAACATATTAATGAATGGTGGATATGGTTAAGACAAAAAATATTAGGATAGAACTCAACTTAAAGAGCCATTGTTAAATTCGAGGCAGTTTAAATTATACTATGGCACCCTGGAAATGCTGGGGCAGTTTAATTAATCAGTTTATTGTGCCTTTCATTTATAATTCAAAGCAAATAAGCTAAAAGATTTGCATGAAATGTTAGTCAAAATTGAATGAAGACCCATGGATAATTACTGGTTTAAGACCAAAATCAAAGTGTTGATGATTTGACTTTATTTAACTACTAGTAATAGTATATATATCTATATATCTATCTATCTATCTATCTATCTATATCTATCTATCTATATCTATATATATATATATATATATATATATATATATATATATATATATATATATATATATATATATATATATATATATATATATATATATTACATGTAGTTATACATATATATATATATCAGTTTTTTAACATCATTGATTAAGTTCAGCAAGTTCATAATGTTGTTCATTGTATCAGCTAAAGGCATTCGTCTAATATGAATATGAGCTAGAATTCCTCTATGAAGTTTAGGGCATGTGATATAACCAGATACCAGTAATCTTAGCAGATACACCAACTGTACTTGTCATTAGTCTTGAAAGCAGCCTTTGTACACATGGTAGCTTTCTTATGCCAGGTTACCTAATATTGTGAACATTTGAGGTGTTATTAGGTCATATCTGTGAATTATTATATTATCTGTTTCTATGGTTATAACATGTACTCCCAGTTGTAATGTACATTTGGCACATTTATATGAGGTTATTTCTCTGTGGGTTCTAGCATATAATTTTTTTGGCCCACAAATGAAATGTTTCAGCCACATTAAGGTATTTGGTGAAATTAAGAATAAATATGCGACATACTGAAATATGCCATTTGAGTTTTAAACCCAACATGAATTATTCTGAGCCATTGATGAATGATTAAAAAGTTTATGTGAGCTTTTATTTTGCCTTTTAGTCCATGTCTTAAATCAACAATATTCAATTATTTCAGCTCTCATGGAAGGAGAAGTTTTACGAGTCTTTTGAAGAAACACCACTTGTGATAGCAGTGTTGACATACATTAGTTATGGAGTACTTGTTTTATATGGACATTTCCGTGATTTTCTTAGAAGCTATATATATCCCTCTGAAACCCTTCCTACAGCTAAGGATTATTTAAAGGTTGGTTTTTAATACTTATTATTATTGCATTTATATTTTTATGTATGGTATTTGATATGTATTCATTAATGTTTTTCTTAAATATAGTATGTTTTTATGAAATTGAATTTACGCATAAATTTTACTCAGTTTTTGTTATGGTATATATCAGTCTAAGGAATTAGTTCTATACGGGCATGCTAAATAAAATAACTAAAAGATGCTAGAAAAAGTGCATTTAAAATGTTCATTTACTACCTGTATAGTTTAATAGTCACTTGACTTTTTTGCCCAATTTTTGATGACGGTTCTTACATTTTCATAAATGTTTAAAAAGTTATACTTCTTTTCCTTTACTAGGGGTTTGTACCACTCTACCAGAGTTGGGAAAGTTTTTACACACGTAACATCTACAGAAGAATCCGTGATTGCTGGAACAGGCCTATTTGTTCAGTGCCAGGAGCAGAGTTTGAAATTTGTGAGAGAGAAACAAATGACAGTGGTTTAACTTTTAGGTAAGTAATGCAACATGGCTTTAATCTTACTGTAACAAAACTTTGTCTGTGGTTTAATTGTATTTTGCTGGGTAAAGTATTTAAAGATGGGTATAAATCAAAAGAAATTGAATAGTTTGATAATTGTCTATTTGTTGATCTGGTAACATTCATGGTGAAGCTATCTATTGTATGCAAGTTGAACACGTGACACCAATACACATTTTTTCAAGCAAAACATTGTCTCAGTATCTCCAAAAAGGATCCAGGCTCCAGCATTTCATGAATTTACAACCTGCATTCCCCTGAATAGTTTACATGGTATACCTACTGGTAGTCAGTGCTTTTAAACAAAGGGACTGCTTATCAAATGGGAGGGCAGTTTATCACTGTTGTGAAGTTTGTTTGCTCCAGACTATTTGGTGTCATCATGGTTCATACCAGGACAGTACAAATCCTGTGTGCTATGTTTAGATTAGTTTGTGACATATTAAGGTGAATTCACACCTGCCGTAGATAAAATGGTTTTGAAGCGCTCTGTCACACAAGCAGTGAGCTGTGAGGATTATCTCATGCTGGGGATTAATAAAGAAATGCTTTGAGGGTGTGCCACATTGAATGGAAGCGGTGTTCATTTTGAACCAAAAATACGAAGTTAAGAAATGAAGTTATGCATCTGTTACATTTGCCTTCTTCACTTACTGAAGTCAGCCAAGGAAGTAGATAGCATCCTATCTACCTCCTCGAATCAGCTTACTCTCCCAGCAAGCAAAACATTCACTACTGGTTGCTTGCATTTGTATTAGAAATCACCCCACACACTAACACATACACAATCTCATACATACATGTTGATATTTTAATTTTGTATTTGCAGTGTATTAAGTGATTAATATTCAACTTCATCTTCAGGTTCACGGGGAGGAAGATCAAGGCTATCAACATGGGCTCCTATAACTACCTGGGTTTTGCTCAAAGTGAAGGCCAGTGTGCAGATGCTGCAGAGGAGGCCACCAGGAAATATGGTGTGGGGATATGTAGTACCAGACAAGAGCTAGGTAACGTTTGTTTTCACTGGACACATCTAGGTCTGTCTCTACTACTACTACTACTACGTAGTTTGACTCTTTCTCTGCCGGTCTCTATTTTCCATGGTGGATAGTAGAAACCTGGAAATCTCCTTGGCAACTGCCAGCAGAGCAACAATATGCTTTGGCTTCCATAAGATTGAGTTGTGTACAACTTTATTTTTGCTCCTCCGTCAGTGTCCACTGAATCTGAACCATCTTTCTTCTTGTAAATTTTGGTTGGCCAACTTCATTTGTGGAGAGCATTTAATGCTTTTAGCGCTTTGCCTCCATTTCTTTCGAATAAACATTGTAAAAAAAAAAAACTTCATTTGCTGCTACAGGGTGATGTTCTATACCACTCTAAACATCTTTTTGTAAGCTGTATCCAGCCTCTCACTCAGTGGCTGTGTCAGTGTGTCAGTCCCCATGCCTTCCGTACATAGAGAATTACATTAACTGTTGCTCTGGGGAAGTTTGATGTCATTTCTAAAGTTTGTTTTGTATATTAAGCTCTCTTTTGGCAGTGCTGTCCACACATTTCCTACTCTGACATTAATACCTTAGATTTAAGGTCTAATTTTATATATTGATCCAAAATACTTAAAAGTCTGGGTCGGCAATGTGGATTGCAATGAGGTCAGTGGCCATACAGTTTGTCATGAAATCCCTGGATTATTAAAAGGAGTGCTGTTCTGATATTTGATTGTGAACAATGTGTAAAGCATATTGTGGTAGTTACCAAGTTGCAAATATTTTTAAATGTAACCATCATAATAAAAATAAAGACAATCCCTAAGTCAACCTTCATATAACATTGATGTGAATGATGTTGCTGTAACCAAATAATTCAGATATTGCATGTGTAAAAACCACAAAGCATACTTGGATTATTTAGTTACAGCAACATCATTCACATCAATGTTATTGTACCACCAGCGTTAGCGCTGGCGGTACACATGGTTTCAGTCCCATCCGGATCGTTCCGCCGGCTCTGCCAGACGGCTACCGTTACCGC